GAATGGTGTTCGAAGAAGACAATAGATCAAGATGGGTTAGCCGTGTTTGTTTGTCTGTAGCAGCAGAAAAGAGTAAGAGTCCAGTAGCACCGTAAAGACTGTCAAGACTACCACAAATTAAAGACTAACGAAGACCACCACAAATTTTGCTAGTCTTTAAGGTGCTACTGGACTCTTACTCTTAGATGGACAAATAGATTGTAGATAACAGCGTTCCGTGCGCCTTGGTGTTTAGTCATGCCGGCCACATGACCACGGAAACGTCTTCGGACAGCGCTGGCTCTTCGGCTTGGAAACGGAGATGAGCACCGCAACCCTAGAGTCGGATTTGACTGGCTTTCGAGCAAGGGAACCTTTACCTTTAAGGTGCTACTAGACTCTTACTCTTTTCTACTGCTAAGAGGACTGTCATGTCATGCTGCCCCTGCTGATGTCATGCCTGCCTTTGCTGATGCCCCTGAACAGGCTCCTGAGGACCCTGAACAGGCTCCTGAGGACAGTACTGCAGCAGAAAGGCAAAGACTGGATCCTGTAGCTGAAAGCTATCTAAGTGGTGAGGAGGATAGAGCCTCCCAGGGAACACCTGCAAGGGATCAGTCTCTGCTGCAGCCCAGTAATTCATCATCAGACTCGCCTCCACCTGTAACCAGGCTCAGGAATGTAAGAAGACAACAGCTGAGAGAGCGAAGGCAGAATGCACGCATGCGTGCCAGAAGATCTCTTAGCCCTGATTACTGACAGGATCCTGTCCTCACTCCTGGCTAGCTAATGAGTTGATTAGCTAGCACTGTATATATGCAAGTCTGTTGCCAGCAGTCATTTGTGCTGGCAAACGTCGTTTGTTCAGGACCTGAATCCTTGCATCTCTGCTCCAGACCTTGTGGACTTCTTCTCGGCTTGATCCTCGGCTTTTGACCTTTGGCTTTGTTGACCCTGCGTTCATCTCTGACTCCTCTGGTATTGTTGTGATTTATGGACTTGAAACTTTGGTATGTCTGACCCTGCTTTTGGACTGTGATTTAAACCTGCTTGAACCTTGCTACCTGATTTGCCCGGCTTGACCTCGGACTGTTCCTGGACTTTTGCTTGCTTGTGTCACGCCCCCTGGTCCTGCCGTGACAAGGACAATGTGTCTGTTTAAAGCATAGATGTCATATCTGCCCCCTGCTACATAGTCCAGTTAGTGTTTCTGTCTAACATGGGTTATTGTAGCCTGATGTTACTACCCCAACCCTCATCCCTGCCCCACTTTGGTTGTTACTCAAGAAATTGTCACAATTTGCTGCTTAATTATATTCTTCCATTTGCATCTCCCTTCTTTAATTGTCTGCATCTGTGTGGTTCTTGTCTGCGTAGACTGGGTTCAGAGAATTGCCTAGTTAGGTTGATGCACCCAAGGAAACTTGGACTTGTGTTTCTCTGACATGCACAACTCCCATTCTACAATCCTCTCTTA